ATGGGGTTGAAAACCAGATAGTCATAGTATTATAATTAGCTTTAAAATGTTTAGGTCTAGATAGATGTATTTAAGTTGATAGACACAAATTATAAAATAACTTAGGTACAAAACCTTAGACCATCATAGATAGAATAAACCTTTTCTTCAAGATTGCCAAATACATTTAAAGTAAACATTATGTGCCTAGCTATTGGTTTTTATAATTGTTTCATAATTATTCTTTTTTTAAAATATATAATTTATTTAACTTTATTTTTTTTACATGAATATCATGTTCTTTTTTTTTTTATTATTCTCATTAGTTACATTTTGGTAATTCTGTATCCCAGCTGTATCCCTCATTCCCTCCCCAATCCCACCCTCCCTCCCTCATCTCCTCCCTGCCCCTTTCCAAGTCCACTGATAGGGGAGGACCTCCTCCCCTTTCATATGACTCCGTTTTGTCAGGTATTTTCAGGACTGGCTGTAAAGTCCTCCTCTGTGGCCTAACAGTACTGCTCCTCCCTTGGGAGGTGGGGAGGTCAAAGAGCCAGTCATTGAGTTCCTGTTAGAAATAGTCCTTGTTCCCCTTACTATGGGAAACCAAATGATTACTGAGCTATCACGGGTCACATCCAAACAGAGGTTCTAGGTTTTATCCTCTCATGGTCTTTGGTTGAGTGTCCATCTCAGAAAAGACCCTGTGCCCAGATGTGTTTGGTCCTTGTGGAGCTCCTATCCTTTCCACATCAAACTCCCCTTCTTTCATATGATTCCCTGCACTCTGCTGAAGGTTTGATTATGAGTCTTAGTATCTACTTTGGAACACTGCTAGGTAGAGTCTTTCAGATGCTTTCTGCGGTAGACTCCTGTCATACGTCCAATGCATATCCCATTTGTCTTTCTAAATGAGGATTGATCATCATACCTTGTGTCCGCTTTCTTGATTATCTTCTTTAGGTGTATAGATTTCATTATGTTTATCATATCTTTTAGGCCTATATAAGCGAGTATATTCCATGTTTGTCTTTCTCCTTCTGGGATACTTCACTCAGAATGATCTTTTCTAGATCCCACCATTTGCCTGTAAATTTCATGATTTCCTCTTTTTTGATTGCTGAGTAGTATTCCATTGTATAAAAATACCACAATTTCTGTATCCATTCCTCTGTTGATGGACATCTGGGTTGTTTCCAGGTTCTGGCTATTACAAATAAAGCTGCTACAAACATGGATGAGCAAATGTCCTTATTGCGTATTTGAGCAAATTTTGGGTATATGCCTAGCAGTGGTATAGCTGGGTCTTGAGGAAGCACTATTCCTAATTGTCTGAGAAAGCGCCAGATTGACTTCCAAAGTGGTTGTACCAGTTTACATTCCCACCAGCAATGGAGGAGGGTTCTCCTTTCTCCACAACCTCTCCATCATGTGTTGTCACTTGAATTTTTCATCTTGGCCATTCTGATGGGTGTAAGGTGAAATCTCAGGGTTGTTTTGATTTGCATTTCCCTAATGGCTAATGACGTTGAACATTTCTTTAAGTGTTTCTCTGCCATTCTATATTTCTCTCAGAGAGTTCTCTGTTTAGCTCTGTTCCCCATTTTTTAAGTGGATTACTTGGTTTGCTGCTTTTCAGCTTCTTTAGTTCTTTATATATACTGGTTATCAGCCCTCTGTCAGGTAAAGGGTTGGTGAAGATTCTTTCCCAATCTGTAGGCAGTCGTTTTGTTTTGATGACGGTGTCCTTTGCTTTACAAAAGCTTTTCAGTTTCATGAGGTCCCATTTATTGATTGTGCACTTTATTTTATGTGCATTGGTGTGAGGGTGTCAGATCACCTGGAACTGAAGGTACAGACAGTTGTGAGCCGCCATGTGGGTGCTGGGAGTTGAACCTGGGTCCTTTGGAAGAACCGACAATGCTCTTAACCACTGAGCCATCTCTCCAGCCCCCTCATAATTATTCTTACTGTATAAAAAATGGCTTTTTATTTAGGCAGAAAAGGGGAATTGTTGGAAGTTAGTCTGATGTGTGTTACTGACCGTTAAGATCTGGTTACACCTATCTTTGTATTGTAAACCTGCCTAAGACATCTATCTGATGGGCTCATTAAACAGCCTATACCTGGGCAGGGCAGAATGGGATAGGTATGGTTAGGGTTTCTGGGCTTGGGAGAGAATCACAGGAGACAGTGAGGAAGGGAGGAAAAAGGAGAATACTATGATGGGTTAGCCTGAAAAAGAAACCTTGTGGGGCCAGGAGAAAGAACTCCAATAATGGCATAAAAAGGCCCAGATGAAGAACAAAAGTAAGTATCTAAAAGATTATGGTTGGAAGATTGATGGTTAAGGAGGATGCATTGGATGGGAGCTGGGAGATGGATGGTGAGGTGATTTAGACAGTGTAGGTAGGACTATCTGCCCCACCCAAGGTAAATAAGGCAATGATAAACTCTAACAAGTGTCTGTGTCTTATTATTTGTGGTAGTGGGTTAGATAATCCCACTGTGACAATCTTAGGAGTAATAATAAACATTATACAGCCCAACACCCATTTTATTTTTAATTTACTACAATATTCTCCATGTGTGTCCAAACATTTATATCTGTATGTGGAGGTCAGAGGGCATCTCTAAGGAGCTGGTTCTCTCCTTGTGCCATGTAAATCCCAGGTTCAAACACAAGTATGCTGATGATTGTTAATATTTAATATTGATGTATCTTTTAGTTAAACAGTGGTTATTCTTAAGCCAGATGTATGCCCAAAGCATACAGAGACACACAGAGACTAGGGTTTATTTAATTAACCTAGAGCACAATGCTGGGCAATAATTACTCCATCATAAACCTACAAACCTGCATAGCTTCCTCCCATTCAGATATCCTACATTATACTTGCTTTTTAGCAATATCTTAGGTCCGGTTCATCTCTCCTGGTGTTTCCAGGTCCTCTCCTCTCCAATCTCTCTTCCCTCTTTCTCTTTCTCCTCCCTTCCGGGCCAGGATGTCCCACCCTAGTCTCTCCATTGCTCAGCATTGGCTGGCTGTTTTATTGGCAACACAGAGAACAAATAGTAACATGTTTACACAGACTTGAGACAGGTGATGCTTAGAATAAACATCACAATGCAGAATGTCCGGATTGAAACCAGATAGTGGGGTAGAGAAATGAGCATTTGAATGAACAAGGGTAAATTGTATACATTCCATAAGAACTTTATACCAACAGAAGTAATACTGCTTGGTGGTAAGAATCTTTCCTTGCTGGGCCATCTTGTGTGCCCCTGTGCTTAACTGTTGAGAAACTCTCAACCTATTTCTACTAGATGCACCATTTTACATGAATTTTACTCTCTTGGAATCTTCAACACTTGCTACTTTCTGCTTCGTGTTTTTTGTTTGTTTGTTTGTTGTTTTTAAAATAGTCTTACTAATACAAGTAAAAGAGAGTAAGATTTTGACAAATAGGATGAGCCAGGGGCATGGATTTTGCTAAACTCAATCTGATATTGTCAACCTATTGCCTCTCCTGGCAATAGTCTGGCCTGTAGAGTATTGAAAAGTATCTCCCTTCCAGTACCATTTAGTTGGTCAGGGTTGTTTTGGCCTAGTTGGTCCACATGTATTGAGACTTTGGGAGGGGTAACCCAGGGATAGGGGAACTGACATTCCAGAGGGCTGAGTTACCCACATCACAATGACCAGGTCATATGACAAAAACAGTTTCAATTGTGAAGGTTGGGGCTGGTCTCAGTGAAAACAGTGCCAACAAGACCAGCAGAGGCATCTGGGGATAGAAGGGCAGGAACATTGAGTCTTGCCACAAGGAAAGGTAAGCTCTGAACTAAAGTGAGACCCTGTTCCAGGACAGAAACTGTCGGTATTCAGAAAGGGGGAAACATAAAGTATCTGCTGAGGTCTGGCTGGTACCACAGCCAGCTGACCAGCACGGGCCTCCAGGCAGAGTAGCTCCTGGGAGTGAAATGAGGGGTGATTGCTGGGGATATGACAGAGTTGGTGGGGTGCTTTCCTAGTATATGAGCCTCTGAATTCAATTTCTAGCACCACATAAACCAGACACAGTGGTCCACAAGTGCAGTTTGGCTTAATTTTGTTTTAGTCTTTGAGACAATGTCTCTCTATGTAGCCCTGGCCGGCCTAGAAGGCACTATGTAGACCAGGCTAGCTTTAAACTCACAGAGATCCATCTGCACATATGTCCCACGTGCTGGGACTAAAGGTTGTGGTACACATCTGTAATCTCAGCACTTAGGTGGTTGAGATAGGAAGATCAGAAGTTTGAAGTAATTCTCAGCTGCTTAGCAGGTGTGAGGCCAGCCTGGACTACACAAAACCCTGTCTGAAAGGCAAGAGAGATAGAGACAGAGAGAGAGAGAGGCAAAGACAGAAAGACAGAAACAGAAAGAAACAGAGACAAAGATACCCACAACATGGTTTCCCTGAAGATTTCAGGGAAATTTCAGGGCTGGACAAGATTGAACCTACTTGTTCATCATTCATGGAGAATGCTGCCCAACTTTCTTTACCTGGGCATGCTGCCTTGCCTTCTCCGGGCAGTGCGAGCCATGGCACCCACTGGCTGGGGGCACCCTACTCTGCAACTCAGCATCAACCATGCGTTAGCAGCTTGAAATGGCCATGCTGGGGGAGTTGCACCACAGGGATTGGCAGCTGCTCTAAAGTCATAGCTTCTGTTAAGTTAAACTTGCTTTGCTATTTGATGCACTGTTTGGAGAGGTAGAGCTGATATTTTAAGTGAGTTCTAATTCCTCTGAATCTTGTCCTAGTCCTTTTGTCAGAGCTCTGATCCACCCATTGCTAGTGTCTCCACTGGCTCCAGGGAACATGTAAGGCAGAATTTTAGGGAAGGTGGAGAGAAGGTGGATGAAGGGGACCAGAGCAGTCCTGCTTGCTTTGTGTAAACTCTGGAAATGGTTGGATATCACTCCTGCTTGAGGCAGAGCAGGGCTAACTGACATGTCTTTCTAGGTCCTTGGCCATGGCACATGCGGTGAACCGCAAAAAGGTGAGTGATGTATCCATCATGAATTTATTAGGCCCAATGGTGTGGTGTACCAGGCACCGACATTGGACTTCTAGAAAAAGAAAGAGCTAAAGCAAGGTCTCAGTCTAGCGTACCTCATTAAGTTTGTTGTTCTGGTGGTTTTGTTTTTGAGTTTATTTATTTGTTTGTTTGTTTGTTTTTAAGACAGAGTCTCATTGTGTGGCTCTGGCTGGTCTGAAACTTATGTCTTGCCATGTAGACCAGACTGGTTTCAAACTCTTAGAGATCTACCTGTCTCTGTGTCCTCAATACTGTGATTAAAGATAAAAATCTTATATCTTTAGCCATTACACCTGGCTAAATGTTTAATTTGCTTTTTAAAAAGATTTGCTTTTTTTTTTATTTTGTGTGTGTGTCTGGCATGTGTGTGTATGTGTGTGTGTGTGTGTGTGTGTGCATGCATGCTTTGTGGCTCACAGAAACCGGAAGAGGGCATATACCCTGAAACTGGATGGCTGTTAGCCTCTATATGGGTGCTGGGAACTGAACCCAGATCAGCAAGCACTCTTAATTGCTGAGCCATCTTCTTTGGTGTTTTTGTTCTTTAGCATCAGTGTGTGTTTTCTTTCTTTCTCTTTTTTTTCTTTCCTTCTTTCTTTCTTTCTCCTTCCTTCCTTCCTTCCTTCCTTCCTTCCTTCCTTCCTTCCTTCCTTCCTTCCTTTCTCTCTGTCTTTCTTTCTCTCTCTTCTTTCATTCTTTCCCTTCTTTCTTTACTTTCTTTCTCCTTCCTTCTTTCCTTTCTTTTTCTCATTTTCTTCTTTCTTTCTTTCTTTCTTTCTTTCTTTCTTTCTTTCTTTCTTTCTTTCTTTCTTTCTTTCTTTCTTTCTTTCTTTTTCTTTCTTTTCTCTCTCTCTCTCTCTCTCTCTCTCTGTCTTTCTCTCTCTCTGTAGACCTGTTTGGTCTCAAACTCACAGAGCTCTACCTGTCTCTGTCTTCTCAGTGCTGGGAACAAAGAGATATATCACCACCCCAGGCTAGGAACTAGAGTCTTTTGTGGTCTTTGTGCCTTGTGCTCCTGAATTTCCTGCTTCTACCTCCCAAATGCTGTGTTATGGGTATGCACCACCACATTCAGAAACTTCAATTATTTTCTTAAGGTTTATTTTAAGTGTGTGTGTGTGTGCATGCGAAGGTGCCCTCAGAGGTCAGAGGCATCAGATCTCCCTAGAACTACAGGTAATTGTAAGCTGCCTAATTCGGGTCCTGGGAATCAAAGTGTTGTCTCCTGAAAGAATATTTGCAAAGCATGTTACTGAAGCAGGGGGAAAGAAGAAAGGTTTTCATTCCTGAAAGCTGGGGCATGAAGAGGTGGGAGGCTGACTGGGGAAAGTGACATTTGATTGGTTTGTTAGAAGAAGCTGATAGGGGCTGGAGAAATGGCTCAGTGGTTAAGAGCACTGACTATTCTTCCAAAGGACCTGGGTTCAATTCCCAGCACCCAAATGGCAGCTCACAACTGTCTCCATTTCCAAGGGATCTGGGACCTTCATGCTGATGCACATAAAATAGAATTAAATAAATTATTTTTAAAAATTCCGGTTGGCAAGAACAGCTTCTGTTTTCATCAGGCAGTGAGAGCATGTAGGGACAGAAGCGGCCCTAAGTGGGAGAATGACAAGGGCCAGGGTCTTGATTTGTTTTCTCACTTGTCTCTAGGACCATGTGGACCTAGACATATACAAAAGCTCATACATGGTTGACTACCAGCCCTTTAATAAGCACAAATACTGCATAGTCACGCCAGAAGAGGTAGGGACACTCGTCGGCCTGTCATCCATTCCATGGCTCCCTGGAGCGACCTTTATTTTAGATTATTTTACTTTACTTTATGTGTGTTTTGCCTGTATGTATGTTTGTGTACTACATGTGTGCAGTGGCCACAGAAGTCAGAAGAGGGTGTTGATCCTCTGGAACTGGAGTTACGGATGGTTGTGAGCCACCATGTCGTTGCTGGTGATTGAACACTAGTCCTCGTAAGTGCAGCACATGCTCTTAACCACTGAAGTATTTCTCCAGTGTCATGGCTCTTTATTTACTTACTTACTTACCTAAGGTTTTTCAAGGCAGGGTTTCTCTGTGTAGCCCTGGCTGTCCTGGAACTCACTCTGTAGACCAGGGTGGCCTCAAACTCAGAGATCCATCTGCCTCTGCCTCCCGAGTGCTGGGATTAAAAGTGTGCACCAGCAATGCCCAGTATGATTTTTACTTTAATGTAGACATTGTAGGTTTTAAAATAACCAGTGCCAGGGAACTTTACTTAAAGGTTTTGTGTGCTTGTACGTGTGTGCATATGTATGCATGTGATAAATCAAAATGTACAGCACATGTAAAATTGAAAGTAATATCCATTCATAGTTTAAATAACACTGATAAGAACCATCGAGGTTGCACTGAGTTCAATCCCCAGGATACACATGGTAGAGGGAGTGAACTAACTCCCATAGTTGTTCTCTGACCATGTACCGTGGTATGACACATTCATGCACAATAAATAGTTACATGTAACAGAGTTAAATACAACCAACACGGATAAAACCAACACTGATGCAGTCATTAACCAGTGTGAGCATGTGTGTGTATTCCTTCTCTCACTCTCATCTTCTGAATGTTGGCCTAATTGTAGAATTCTTTTAACTTTTTTGTTATTTTGAGATAAGGTCTCTTATGATCTAGCCTTAAGCTTGCTAGGATGGCCTTGAACTTGAATTTCTGCTACTTCTGTATCTACTTCTTGAAGTTAGGAATGTGCAGCTGGCCCAGTTTTCGTGGTGCTGGGGACTGGACTCGAAACTAAGCAAACACTCTGTTCATTGGCTCTATGTCCTTACCTAGCACTTCTCAGCCTCCTCTACCTCCTTTGCCTCCTCCTTTCCTCCTCCAACCTGAGCCTGGTCCCTAAAACCCACATAAAAAGCCAGGCCTTTTTGTGGCATGTCCCACATGTTCCCACAATGCTAAGGAGGCGGAGATAGGCAGATCCCTGGAACTCACTGGTTATGCAGTCTAGCCTGTTGGGCACCAGTGAGTCTTTGTCTCAAAAGATAAGGTGGATGGTTCCTTAGAGACAATACCTCTGGCCTCTGGAGGTTGATCTCTGGCCTCCATATGTGTGTACAGATGTACACACGGCCACCCCCTCCCAACACACACACACACTCAAGCACACATAAATAAAAATAAAATGTACTATGTAATAAAAAACGATTTATGTGTGTGTTGGCATGCATGCATGTATGCGTACCATGTGTATGCCTGGTACCCATGAAGGCCAGAAGAGGGCATCAGATCTCTTGCTATCAGAGTTAGTTGGTCTTAAGATGCCTTGTAGGTACTTAGAACCAAACCCCAGTCCTTTGCAAGACAAGCAAGTACTCATAACCATTGAACCATCTCTCTAGCCCTGTTATTACATAATTTTTGAAAGTGAATTATTCATGTTCTGTGGCTTTTACTCTTGCTAAGCATCGTGGAGTGATCACTCATATCCTATGCAATATTATACGTCACAAACTCACCACAATGTGGGTATTCCTTCCCTTGGTGAACACTTAAGTGTTTTATCCCTCTTGGATGCCTCAGTGGAGAGGAGGCTCATCCTGAGGTGCAGGAGTTTCTAACGACAGGAGTGGAGTTGTTAATTTTAGGGCAACAGTGTCTGTTTTAAGTTCATTCCAGTTTAAACCATCACCAGCGCTGAGTGGCCATGCTGACTCTGCCCTCTTACTCAGCTTGAAAGGTTTTCTAAATTTGGTGAGCGTGGAATCATATAGTTTGTGGCCATAATGTTCCTTTTTAACTTTTGTTTTGTTTTTCAAGACAGGGCTTTTCTTGCTGTGTAGCCCTGGCTATGCTGGAACTGGCTCTGTAGACCAAGCTGGCCTAGAACTCAAGTTCTACCTGCCTTTGCCCCACCAGTGCTGGGATTAAAGCATGTACCACTGTGGGCTGGCTTTTTCTTTCTTTAAATTTTGTGTTATGTATGTATGTATGTATGTGCATGGGGTCCATGCGTGCTATGATGCCCACACACCCGTGTACACACCACATAACTGCATAGATGCACAATAGATACACACACCCACACCCTAAAAAAGCATTATTAAAAAGTCAATAGTGAACCTACGTTTAAAAAAAGATTTCTTTTTATGTGTATGGGTCTTCTGCCTGCATATATGTCTCTGTGCCACATGTTTGCCTGGTGCCCACAGAGCCCATAGGGGTGTCAAATCCTCTGGAATTGGTTGTGAGCCACCACGTGGGTCCTGGGAACAGCCAGTGCTCTCTCCCAATCTTTGGATCATCTCGCCAGCCCTGAACATAACATTTTCAAAGTAGTATGCATTTTGTCTGGAGCGCTTTGAGGGACACTGCCTCGGCGCCCTTTCTCAGTCTTCCCTTTTTTTCTACAGCAGGCCAAGCTCGATACTCAGCTCCGGAACAAAGAGTTTTACCGGCCTGTGCCCAACCCCAACCCCAAGCTGAAGGATGGGTACGCTGCTTTCAAAAGAACCCACATGACTGCAAGAGACTTAGGAGTCTGTGGCTTCTTCCCACGACATCCGGTAACTCCTGCGAAGGACCGGTTTCCCGACATCCGCCGTCATGCTTACCCAGATTGCATGTCTCAGTGCCTGGCCCAGAATAACCCCTCCTGGCTTCACCAGAGGTCGGACTTCCCGGGCTTCTTGGAGCTGGATAGGCAGCCTGCTCCAGAAGCAGGCAAAGACTACATTCTACTCCCTGCCTGTCCCTGTGCCCCTTTTGAGAGAGTCAAGGTCCCCATCGCGAATAAGTGGGGCCCAGTGATGCCATTTTACCAGTAGAAGAGCAAGAATACCTGCTGTTTCAATTATGAGGATCTAAGGTTATGGGACACACTAAATAAAGATGATTAGACGTGCAACAGATCTTCAGTGAAAGTGGTTTATTGTGGATATGGAGAGAGTGAGAGAGAAGGGAGAGCAAGACATGATGGGGAGAAAGAGAGAGAGGAAAGAGAGACAAGGGGCACCCTGATAGAGAAAGGGGAAAAGGCCAACAGGCCAGGAGCAAGAGAGATGGAGAGAAAGGCCAAGAGAGGGACCACCCTGTCGGGTTTTCCCTTTAAGGGGCAAGGTAACCACGCCTTCCAGGTGTGGCCACCTGGCTGGCAACACATGATGACATCATAAGTTGCTACGCAACCCAGAAGCAAGTTTAGTTCCAAAATCCTAACAGGAAATTCCATGCCCACGCCAAAATAAAACCGGAAAGATGTTCCTTATACCAAGGGGTATTGTTTCATTAGAATCTCCAGCCCCATCTCAGTGTGGGAGAGAAAGGAGGGAAAAAGGAGGAAAGAAATCAGTGTGTGCTGAACTGAAATGGGTGTCATTACTATTTTTATCTGTCTGTCTGTGAATCTATCATTTGTTTTTTGAGATGGGGTTTCTCTGTTGTAGTCTTGGCTGTCCTGGGTTCGCTGTGTAAACCAAGCTGGCTTCAAACTTGATCTGCCTGTCTCGGCCTCCCTGAGTGTGTGCCACCGCACCCAGTGTCATTTTTTATCTTTTATGCCTTTTTTGCGGTGTGCGTATAGGATGTATGTGTATGTGTAAGTGGTGGAATGTGTTCTATGCTATGGTACACACGTGGAGGTCAGAGGACGACCTCAGTGCTTGCCTTCTATTGTATGTTCTGTTGCTAGGGACTGCTTACCCCAGGCAGCTGGCCACAAGCTGCTGGGGGCAGGGAATTTCCCACTTCCCAGCTGGCTGTAAGAGCCCTGGGATTAAAGATGTGCTATTGCGCCTCGCTTTACATGGGTTCTGGGGAGATTCAAACTCAGGTCCTCCTGCTCACTCAGCAAGCATATATATCATCTGCTAGCCTGCCATGTTCATTTTCGGTAGGAGTGGCTTTTATTGCTTGTTTCTGTCATTTATTTTGGTGGAGGGCAATGACAGATGGTTACACCTGTGTGCTCGGGAGGTCAGAGCACTCTGTTGGAGTCAGTTCTCTCCTGCCATCCCATGGGTCCTGGGGCTAAGGAGTTTGAACTCAGGTTGTCAGGCTTGGCAGCAAATGCCCTTATCTGCTGAGCCATCTCACAGGCTCTTGGCGAGAGTGTTTGACTCAGGGTCTTATTCTATAGCCCAACTGGTCTAGATTTTATTATATAGCTTGGGAGAGCCTTGAATCTTCTGGCATGCTTCTGGCTCAGCCTCCCAAGCTCTGGGATTAGAGCCAGGAAGCACTATGCAAGGGTTTGTGTCGTATTCTATTATAATTAAGAGTCTCTCCTTGCAACAAGTAGAACTCCCCTCTGTCTCATGCCATGGCTTTAACCATCTCCACATTCGTATAAATGCAACCATGTGGAGAGGAGGGGGTCACACTTTTAACTGTGACTACGGAAGCCTACTAAGGAAATAAGCTGAAATGAGCCATCAACAGTTCTGCTCAATCTTATTGTTTATAGCATTTTCTGGCAGATGTTATTTGAATGGTTTTCCAGAGAGCTCACGTGTTGGATATTAATCCCCAAGTTCACAGGTTTCTGGTGTTTGCAACTAAAGTGTTTGGGAGATAATTAGAATTGGAGGAGGTCGTGCTGAAGGGTGATCGCAATGCCATCTGTGGCTTTATTTTTATTTAATTTTATTTTAGTGTGTGATTGGATGTTTTGCTTGCATGTCTGTGCACCACATGCAAGGCTTGTGCCCTCAGAGGCCAGAAGATCCTGGAGTTACAGACAGTTGTGGGCCCTCATTTGGGTACTGAAAATCAAACCCAGGTCCTCGGGAAGAGCAGCCCGTGCTCTTTAGCCCTGAACCATCTCTTCAGCCACATTTGCAGCTTTGGAAGAAAAAAGAGACATGAGCGTGTACCTTTGCCCCACCTCCTGATGTGATGCTCTCCACCATGCTATACTGAAGGAAACAGCCTCTCATGATGTTGTACCAGGCAGGCTGTCATTCCTTGTCATTCCTTGGCCTTGGCAGGGACCCTTGCAAATGGTCTGCAGAAACAGGGCTGAGGTTTGGCAGTAAGGCCAAAGTCCTTGAAGGATGAATATTCCTTGATGTTTACAAAATATGTGCTACCTTTCTTCATGCTCATTTCTCCCCACTGGGACTTAGGAATTTGCACACCCATTTTACAGAAGGGACAAGAGACCAAGCAGATGTGCAGGAGCACTATCTGGGTGAACACTGTCCCCATCCCACACTCTCCAGCGGTGACTACTTCTGAGAGTTGCCTGTCTGAGGAGGGTACCTGGGCTTCTTGGGAAAATGTGGACACCAGGTCCAGATGGACATTGTAAGGTCTGGAGCCAGCTCCTGGGACTTAGGTGTGTATTCAGTTCAGAGGAGGCTGAGTGACTAGTGCTGTGTGGGAGAAGCTACAGAAATGGACACTGAGCTCCTGGGAGAAAAGAATAGAAACCAGGCTCCCAGGATATTTATATGTATAAATATATAAATTTATTTGTGTGGTGAGCTGGATGAATAGAGGTGGATTAGGAGGTCTGCACTGACATATCTGAAACTATTCCGGTGAAGCCGCATTCCAGAATGTGCCCATTAGTTTCCAGATGTGTGTGTGTATACATACATACATACACACATTTTTTTCATTAATTTATTTTGGGGGAGGGGAGGAGTGGAAGGGTTGGGCGTGTGCGCGCACACACACACACACACACACACACACACACATGCAGTATGTATATATTTCACTTAAGGAACCTAAAGAAGTCAAACTCAGGGCTGGAGAGATGGCTCGGTGGCTAAGAGCCATCTGACACACTGACTCTTCTGGAGTATCCAGGTTCAGTTACCAGTACCCACATGGCAGCTCACAACCATCTGTAACTCCAGCTCCAGGGGATCTAATAACTTCTTCTAGCCTCTGAGGACACCAAATGCAGGTGGGGCACAGATAAACATGCAGTCAAAACACCATCAATGCATAAATTTTTTTAAAAACTCAAATTGTTGAAGGAAGTACTTCACCTAGGGTTGGGCTCTGAGGTTTTATTTATTTTTGGGTTTTGGAGACAGGGTTTCTTTTGTAGTCCTGGATGTCCTGGACTTGGTTTGTAGACCAAACTGGCCTCAGACTCACAGAGATCTGCCTCCCTCTGCCTTCTGAGTGCAGCGCCACACCTGGCAGGCTCTGAGGTTTTAAAAGCCCATCTGAACCAGACCTAGTGTTTCTCTCTCTTGGCCTGCAACCTGCAGACCAGCTGTGAGCTCATAGCTACTTCCCCAGTGCCATGCCTGCCTGCCAGCATGTTCCCTCACAATGATGATCATGGACTAACCCTCTAAAACTGTAAGCAAGCCATTAATTAAATACATTATTCTATAAGTTGCGTGGTCGTGTTTGCTCTTCACAGTAGCATCTCAGGTGGGAAAGCTAAGAAATTGTAGAGGTGAACTGGGGTGCTAGGTAAGCTGGCAAACTGTTTCCTGCACAGGCGTGAGGGCCTAACTTCGAATTGCTAGCACCTGGGTAAAGCCCAGCAGAGCAGTGTGCACCTGTAACCTCACTGGGGGCAAATCTAGGCAGGTCCTGGGGGCTCACTAGCCATCTAGTCCAGTTTAAATGGCAAGCTCCAGGATCAGTAAAGAATCCTGTCCCTGAAGATAGAGAGAAGCAGAGGAAGAGAACAGCGCAGGCAAGAAGGGTGATGGTTTGGACCCAAAATAGTGTTTGTAAGATGGAAAATGATAATTTGGGAGGTTCAATGGTCTCCCCCTTTTCCAAGCTTAGTCAACTGTAGTTCAAAACTATTAAATTAAAAAAATCCATATATATTCAATTTTTAAAAAAGTTACTCTAATACCATGATGAAATCTTCTATCTGTGCTACCTGGGATGCCAACCATTTGGCATCCTCTGCTAGTTGCCAACACCATGGATTCATGTACTTTGGGATCATTATTAAGTGCAATGTTAGCTGAACACAGCTACTTGGACCCTCTGGCCACTAAATCTAATACCCAGCCAGCTTCTATGAACTAATGGCAATGGTAACCCTTCAACAGTGTTGGGAGATGCTGCTCAGAAGGCTAGAGGCAAGTTGTTAACACTAGTCCTACCTCGATGACGCTTTCCACAACACTCTACTGTAGGCCTGCATAGCTGGCTGGAGCCAGACTCAAGGTACAGTTGAGAGAATCGATATAGCATTCCTGTATTTTAGATCTCTGCAAACTCAGAGGTCACGCTGTGGCTGTGCTTTGACTCAGATGTGCTACGTGGATGAGTGCCTAGTGACACACAAACTAGCTATGCCCCGCTCCTGGGCATGCTGTGCAGTTTAGGGTCAAAGTTCTGGAAGAAAGGTGTTCCTAGCCCTTTCCTCAAGAGCACCATCCCAACCCAATTCCTCCTCTAATAGGAACTGTCGGGAAGTCTCTCTCTTTCCTTTCTTCAAGGACAGTTCTCAACTTCTTCAATAACAACCATAGGCATAGCAGGTTGGCAAGCACTAATCCCGATGCCAGTCAGCGCTTGGCAGGTGCACAGACTGTTTCACCAGGTATTCTATGTGGCAGGTTTTACTAGGCTGGGTGTTGTTTGTTGAGACAGGACTACATAGACCAGACTGGCCTGAAATTTATAGAGATTGGCTGGAACCAGCTTCCTGAATGCTGGGATTAAAGTCGTGCCCCACAAGTCTCCTGGTCTTTTTGCAAGTCTGTGTTCTTCCCTTTTCCTCCCTCTTCCATTTTTACCCTTTCTACCTAAGAATAATCAAAGGGATCAGCCAGGAGTTCCTTTTCTAGCTTTCTACTCAACCAAACAGAAGAGCACTCATAGCTCTGCATAT